CATCCAAACAGCACCAGCCCCAGCACCGACGTAAGTGAACCAGCCATGATTGACAGAATGAGTGAATGATTCAATGACTCGCTCATGGCAAAACGACATTGAACCACTGAATCTATTTAGTGTACAAATTCTAAACATTCGAGTCACTGTGATGAATCAAACTTTACAGCTAATGTTTGAATAGATGTGGGCGCTAGCTGAGGTGCGAAAAATTGTGTAATGCAAAGTAATATATATATATATATATATACAAACACACATTTTGTAAGACATTTATCCATAACTGAACAGGATTTTGCTGTGTATATTGTGCTGATGATTTTATTGATTTGTTGGGGATACAAGATCGTCTGCGATATGATGGCTTGTTCCCCTCCAAATTTTTGGTAAACACCTTGCCTAGTGGCTAGAATTATTATGTACCATTAGGGGAGACGGGATGAAAGTAACACTTTTTGTTTGAGCATCAGTAACTTAGTGGTTGTTTGTGTAGATCTTTCAAACTTTGATAAAAAGCTACATTTGTCCATTACAAATAAAGCTCACATGGACTTGTACTACTACACAATCATAGATTATGAGTTACAAAGAGTGTTATGACCTACCCCAATATACTGGTGTGAGTTGGGGATAGATGTAACCGAGGCAATTTGCAGAAATAAGTTCCACACTATCCAGTTTATACAAGAACTTTATTGAAGAACAAAGAATAATCAGTTTTGAATAAAGTTAACAATTTAAAGTGACAAACATCATATTGTATTTTTAAGGCTTTAAATTTAGCATAATTTCCATGTTTGTATGAGTGTTCGTGTGTGTAATGTATTCCTGTCACATAAGGGTTCAGTCACTAGCTATGTCACCATCCACTTATTTTTATGTGAATTTTGGGATATCACATGTTATGTAGGTCAAATAATTGTATCTACAATACAATGATTGCTAGACAAAAAAGTAATCTACAATGTTAATCGTGGTCACATGCAACTTCTCCTCTAAGCTCAAAAATATGATGGGAGTGTATGATATTAATGACATCACCACAGCTCTTTTCTGACTTGTAAAACTGACAGTTACAACTGACCGCGTGTTGCAACACTCCCCGGTCTACCCTACAGTTTTAAAATTCATAATGTCACAAGTCAAAATAGTCCGATAAATGACATAAACATTAATGTTCACAGTTCGGACAGTGTGGATTAAGTTGATATTCTTCATCGTGACAAATAATCAGTATAAATCTGCACACAGCATTTTAAAAGTCAAGTGCTGATTGGAGAGCAGATTGTGGTTTTTGCACTCTCCAACACCTGTCCACAACAGGAAAACAGAAAAAGGTGCAATTTCTTTTCTTCACCCCCACCAAGATCTTTCAGATCTGTGCTGAAAGAGGTGTGGCCTCTAAACATTTGCATGGTGAATCTTTGCACCACAGTTGATTTCATGTGTCCAAATTTCTGCATTGCGAAGTTGTCTGCCAACAGGCGGGGCAAAACCGGATACACACTCTTGGTTTATATGTCATTCACCCACTAAGCAGTGATGCTTTTGGTTTATATGTTACTGACACTCAAACGAGTGGCTTTCATACAAACAAACCGCTTACATCGATCTTCATGTTGTTCCTGGACTCTCAACTCTAGGCAAGTACATGTTTTGATTGTGCCTGTTATTATGTTAGAAAATACAATTACAAAAATTACTAAAACAATAAAGAGAAATATATTTGTATATACATTTGGATAGTTGTAAATATCTATAGCTGTGAGAATAATAAATATATTATTTGGCTATTAAAATGGCAGTGTGTGGTATATTGATTCCAGCCTGCTTTAGTATTTATGCAGGGTTTTTTTTGGTTCTTTTTTAAAAACTAATCAATGAAAAGCTGTGACTAACATGCAAAGTGATGATTAAGTGTTACATGTTCACACCATCATACTGTATCATAAGCTCAGTTTTAGTCGCTACTGTCAAAAGTAAAAGACAGAGTTGATTGTATTCTGTTATTTTACTATCATATTTTTTTTATATATTTGTTTCTATTTTTCTATTTTCTGTTTTTATTTTACATTTAATTAAAGTGTTAGTACTTTTGTTTTTGGGTTGTCTATATAGTTTTTATTTATTTAGTTCATCAACTATGAAACAAAAAGCATTTACTTGTCAACTACCTAAAACAAGTTTACATGCTTCAGTTAATGTTGTTTTTATTTCAAGCAACAAAAATGTTTTTCATGATTTTAATTTGAGTTATTTATAATAACCCTGCTGTGACCACCTCACCACTTTGTCTTTACAGTATTTGTGCCATGCGATTAATGAAAAAACATAATCGTGCCCTCTGTTGTCTGTTTGGCTTTGTACTGCTCTACAATTTCTTATCCTGGAGTAAAACCATGCTACTCTCGAGTCAGACTGAGACCAGTGGACCTAAAAGCCCAGAGTACAACATCACCATCCTCCTGTGGCACTGGCCTTTCGGAGTTCGCTACAGACTGGAGAGAGGCGACTGCATGGATAAATATGAAATCCCCAGATGCTTTCTGGAGGATAACCGATCTCTTTTCGCTCAGGCAGATGTTGTAGTCTTCCATCACAATGAGCTCTGGACTGGCCACTCCAAACTGCCTCTCCAACTTACGCGTCCACCAACGCAAAAGTGGCTTTGGTTATCGCTGGAACCTCCTATGAACAACCACAATCTCAGCAACTACAACAGTTTGTTCAACTGGACAATGAGTTATCGCCGTGACGCTGACATCTTCATGCCATACGGAGAGCTTGTTTCTAAAAGGTCTAATGCCACATACACTATTCCGATGAAGAGCGAATGCCTAGTTTGCTGGGTGGTCAACAAATACAAAGCCAATCAGAGTCGCTCTCTAGTTTTCAAGCAGCTGAAGAAACACATTCCATCAAAACTAATAGAAGTATACGGTCGGTGGCCCAAGCGGCTGCTCTCAAACAAAAAGCTGCTTTCCACAATATCTCGATGTTATTTCTACCTTGCCTTTGAAAACTCAGTATCCACAGACTATATCACAGAGAAGCTGTGGCGAAACTCGCTTCAGGCGGGGAGTGTGCCGGTGGTGCTCGGCCCACCGAGGAACATTTATGAACTATCAATTCCACCAGAGTCATTCATCCATGTAAATGACTTCAGCAGCATTAAGGCGCTGACTAA